ATGTGTTTTCACTGATGCATGGTATTTAATCAGATACAGGCAGTCCCCGACTTACGTGGATCCGACTTACGTCGGATCCGCACTTACGAACGGAGCTTTCTCGCCCCGGAGGTCGGGGCAAGAAAGCCCCGTTCGTAAGCTGCTCCGGTGCCCCTGGTCTGCTGGAGACCGTCTCCAGCAGACCAGGGGCACCGGAGCAGCTTACGAACGGGGCTTTCTTGCCCCGACCTCCGGGGCGAGAAAGCTCCGTTCGTAAGTGCGGATCCGACGTAAGTCGGATCCACGTAAGTCGGGGACTGCCTGTATCTGATTAAATACCATGCATCAGTGAAAACACATCTGACTCTAACACCTTATGCCAAATCACATTAAATTATGAGGAGTTGAGGCTGTGATCACAGAAAATAAATGTCGAAGTTAGTTCTACTTCTCATGGGAGCAATAACTTAGCCAGATTTCACAAATACTATAGATTAAAGGCACACTATCAATTTAGAAATAACACCCCTTCCTGAATGTTTTTGCTTTCTATTTATATATTAATCTTAGATGTCACTTTTAAGGTGTTCAAGTGAAGAAAGCTTTTATTTGCTTCCTACATATGCCAGCACTTTTCACATTTATTATTTTACTGATTTCTCCATTTTATGTGACTGTTTCATAGCTAAATGACAAAACCATGTTTTTAAAAAGTAAAAATTAGCAGAGTGATTCAGTGTCAGGTATAGTATGTGAAACTACTGTATACAGGCAGTCCCCGACTTACGTGGATCCGACTTACGTCGGATCCGCACTTACGAACGGAGCTTTCTCGCCCCGGAGGTCGGGGCAAGAAAGCCCCGTTCGTAAGCTGCTCCGGTGCCCCTGGTCTGCTGGAGACCGTCTCCAGCAGACCAGGGGCACCGGGCGGGTTCCCGCGCTTCTGAGGCTTTGCCAGCAGACCACAGGCACCCAGATTGAAGCGGCAGCAGCGGCGGTTCCCCGCGCCTCTGAGGCTTTGCTTGTGTGACTTCTTGCTGGCCAGAGTGGCAGCTGAAGTGTTTGTTGTGATAGAGGATGGACCCCAGACTTGGGCTGTAAGTAGCCTTATTTCTAAGCAATTCACCCTGATTTGGCCCTCTCAGTGGTGCTCCCAGACCCGGTTATATTACGCAGCAGCGTCCCCGGGGCTCGCTCACCTGGGTCCTAGAATCCACCTCCTCCTCCTCTTCGGCCGGCTCCAACTGGCCTCTGCCTGCAGCAGCTGGCCACAGGGACAGGGATCCTGCAGAGCTGCCGGGCAGAGGAAAAGTGCCTCCCCACGCCCGCTGCCCCCTCCCCTGAGCAACAGGCTGCCGAACAGCAGACAAAAGCAGCCTCTCCGCCCCTCCTCCCCCTATACATGCTGGGCTCCCTGGGCAAACAAAGACTCCACCAAAACAAACAAAGTGCTGGCCTCATTGTGTTAGCAAAAAAAGGACCCTCCTCCTAGAACCCTGGGTGGTGTGTGGAAATAAAGCTATTAGCTCAAAGCATGGTGCAGAGCTGTTTGGTATTTGATGAGTTACTCTTTTAGTCCTGAGTTTGTCACAGGGACAGAAATAGATGTGAAATCTTCTGAACAGGGGAACAGACAGCAAAACAAACATTAGAGGGGAGTTAACCTTTCCCTATGCTATCCAAAACTAAAAAAAATGTTTGGCTAGAGTTTCCCCTACAATATGTACCAGTTCCGACTTACATACAAATTCAACTTAAGAACAAACCTACGGTCCCTATCTTGTACGTAACCCGGGGACTGCCTGTACTCTGTTTTCTTCAAATTGATTAAACTTCAAGTTGACAGTCCCCTTTTTAAGGAATACATTCAAAAGTGTATGCCACTTGCTGTGTTTTGGAAACTGTGCGCCCGTCTGTGCCAGACCTGCTCAAATGCTAATAGACAAGAATCCTCTCTTTGCTCACATGGTAGAGCTTACATTTTATTTCACCATGCTGATTGTGTGCAGTCTAAAGACTATAGTGTATGTAGCCTGTAGTTTGGGTGCAGAGTTAGAGTTGCTGTGCAATATAAAGACCTGTCCTTGGTGCTTATAAAACATGCTACAACACTAAGGTACTTTATTTTATGATAAGTAAATATGTCTTCTGTCATCTTGGATATCTCATAGGCTACTTAGGCTTCATTGTGCTTTCAGTTAAAAATGCTAAGTATGAGTCTGAAATGGTTTCTTCAATACTTGATCTTCAGTAGCTAAATCCAGTCTGGCATTTTGCAAACCCAAATAATGCCTCAATAGGACAAGACTACTACTTACAATTAATCAATCTTTTTAATCCATAAAATATAATGTAGGCTTCTAAAGAATGAATAGATCATTTGGCTTATTTGAACTACGTAAAGTGTTAGTGTATGCATATTACCAAATGGAATCTTAGTTTTCCAACCAATTTTATTCAACATTACAGTAACTCTGCTTGTTCACACAGTTTTTCTATGACCTTTCCTTCTTCTGGATAGCTGTGTTGGTAGTAGTATCTGGGCCTCTCTTCTGGAGACCCAGGGCTAGTATGTTTTATGGGGTTCGCTTAGACTCTAGTGTGGGGCCAAAAATGAAGGATTCTGTGTGTACGAAAGGAATGCTAGGGAGCAGAGTAGGGGTGTGGGGTCTGGAAAGCAGGTAAGGGTCAGGAGCAAGGTGGGAGGGAGAGTGTAGGGCCTGGGGGAGAGGTGAGGTGCAAGAAGGGTCTGAGGTGGGGACATCTGGGTGGGAGGGAGGATGCAAAAGAGAGCAGGGTATGGAAGGTGTCTTTCTGGTACAGCTCCCGTTTGGCAAGGGGAAAAATACGTGGTTCCATACTACCCTGCACTTGCAGGCACCATCCTCTGCCACTGGATGTGATTCCTAGCCAGTGCAAGTGGCTGGGGAAATGCCTGCAGGTGAGTGCAGGGACTGAACTTCCTTGTGCTATCAGAAATGCATGCAGCTTCACCATGGGAGATGAGGGAGAATGGCAGCATGTGGAGATGCCTCCCCTTATTTCCTTCCCACTACCTGCCAGGCAGAGCCAGAAAGGAATGCAGCACGCTGGGCCTCAGTGGCTCATCCTAGGTTTCCAAACCAATGGCGGGGGAGGGCTTAGCCTGGGGCCCTGTCCTGAAGCCCTTAAAGCACCTTTCATAATCCAGCCCTGCACGTGGGACTGCAGTCTAGCTAATCGATTGGCACACAACTGTAGCATTTTCTTAAGTTAATAGAAACAAGGACTTTTTAAACTGTTTTAATGGCCTTTTTCATTAGCTAAAACATTAATAAAGGTAGTTCTATATTACGTAAGTCTCACACAGGAAACCATTTTGGCTTAAATAGCATTTTAAAAATGGTTACTGCTCTAGCCTTTCTGTTAGGCAGATTGTTAGCTGTTCCTATGCTGTGATGTGTGTTTTTTGTTTTTTGTTTTTTTTTTTTTTTTTTGTAAAAAGTATTGCTATATAAATTGTGAAATGAAAAATGAAGCACTTCACTGCCTTGGTTACAGTTTTGAATTGCCAGTTTTCCATGTTTTGTATTATTTCCCTTTGCGACGCAAGAAGGGGGAAAAACAAAAGAAACCATTTTCTTGATTGAGTGGATGGTAGAGGATTTTAGGCTCACTTTGATAATGGTATAGAACATATATGTTAATACAATTTGGTACTGAGAGACTTCTGCCTTTCAAAACATTGCTAGTAATATTTATGTATTTTATTTCACTTACAAACTAGCAGTACAAGTTTAACCTCTCTGCTCCAGGACATTCTGGACCACAGATGTTGCTCTACTAGACAGCCCTGGTGGCTGAGAATTTGGTGGCTGAAGGGGCAGCCAGGAGCAGAGCTAGGGAGTTGGCATCCGGGAGAGGAGCTGTGAGCCCAGCAGCCTGGGCTGGCAGCACAGCCTGCCTGGGGGAAGGGAGCTCATTGTCAGGGACCGGGCCAGACCAGCAACAGAACCCAGCCAGAGATATGGAACTCCTTGCCCTCGGTCCGGCTCTGCACCACCAATTCTAGTAGTGGAGACAGGCTAGAGGTGCTGAGTCTTGCAGGAGCTTGGCACTCAGCACCAGAGCCAGACCAGCAGTGAAGCCCAGATGGGGTTGGTTGTCCAGGGACAGGGAGTCCAGCAGCTAGGGTTGGCAGCAGAGTCCGACCCACAGCAAGCAGGGGAGCTCAACTGGTGGGCTGGGCCAGGAGTGCAGAGCCTGGAGTGGAGCCCAGCTGGGTCTGCTGACAGACACCAAGTGAGCCTAAAATCCTTCTGTAGAGGAGCTGGAATTGACTTCCCCAGTCCAGCAAACTCCCTTGTTCGGACTGGTCAGCTTCCTAGGGTGGTGGATCAGAGAGGGGTGATATACAGAGTCTGATGTTTATTTTGAATTAGTTTTCTGAGTTTATTCTAGTATTTGGGTCCCTGATATTTTTTTAAAAACATGATTGTCAAGGTTGTGTGTGTGTGGTTTTTTTTAATCTAAATATCACTCACCATAATCATCAATGTACTCTTGTTTCATTGTACAGATTTTTATTAAGATTTTGTACATGGCAAGTACTGAAAAACTAAAATAGCATATTAAAATACTGCAGCAATGATTAACTGCAGTAGTTTTTTTTCTGAAACTTAATTAAAGAATGGTATGTTCCTGTACTAGACGACTGGAGCTAGGTGCCCTCCCCTCCCCCAATAATAAAACTTTGTTTTACTAGATTGGATGATGTGTTTTTTTAATATACTTTAAAAATACAAAATTCTCCCTAAATAAACTGTTGCTTGCTCTTATAAGACGAGTATTGTTAAACTTCCCTGGGATTTACCCTTTGTCTGCCTGTATTTTATGCTCCAGCTGGGTAACTGTAAAACATAAAACTGTAAAATGTTCCTTACATATTACCAGCAACTTATTTATAAAGTGGAATACACTTAAAATGAAGCACAGCTTATTCACACATATTTAATGCTTGTACTGAATTACATTTTTTTCAGGAACTCCAGAAAGGAACTTAATGACATTCGATTTGAGTTCACTCCAGGCAGAGGTAAAACTTTCTTAATTAAACTTATTTTAGTGCTGAAACTGGTATTTCAAAATTGATTACTGTTTCTGGTTAATATAAGTTATCACTCTGAAGAGTTTCCTACTTTGTCAAGATTTTATATTACACTGTTTAAACCAAACAAAAATAGTACAGAAATGGAAATGTTAGCGATAAGGTTATATCTTTGTTTCACTTTTTAATCTTGTGAATTATGCAGTACATAAGAAAAGTCATTTTACAAGGTGAAATAAAAGTTATATAAAAATAGCTATCATTGTATCAATGATGTGAAATAGAGTTAAGGTATCCCTGACAGCATATGTGACTGTAGTCTGAAAATGGCTTTGTGGGGTTCCATATAAAATTTGCTCCATTTTGCCAGTGAGAAGTACTTGCCGTTTCTACAAATGACACTTTTTTTTTCTGAAACTTAATTATATTTCTGGCTTGTGTATCATCATGAATAATAAAGTTATTGTAATTGGAACTTTAGAATCCCTCTCACTTTTGCATCTGTATTGGCTTTCTCTTGCTAATAGCTATAAGAAGCCATGAACCTGTGCTTTGGCTCAAAAAGCAAAGCCAATATTATTGGTTAAAACATAGGGAGCTGATAAATTGAGTAAGAAGATTCTGTCCACTTAGCCAACATTTGGGCTATAGTTGTACTTAAGTATGACAGCAGCAATGTTCTAAATTGAACATATACTAATAGTGCTACAGCCTAAAAAGATATCTATATTGGGAGAAATCATCATTCCTTAACCACATATTTTTCTTAGCTATGGAAAGATAGGTGTGTTTCTTTTGGGTTATATATGCAGTTAATAGGATACACAGAGAGGGATGCTCTCTCTTGTAAACTTAATTTATTCATATGTTCTGATGTTTGTGATCAGGTGTTGACTAAAGTCACTTAGTGCTGTAGTGTAGACATATCCTAATTCGAACTAACTTAATTCGAATTAGTTAATTCGAACTAAGCTAATTGGAACTAGTGCATCTAGACCTAAAAACTAGTTCGAATTAGCATTTTGCTAATTCGAACTTGCATGTCCACATTGAGTGGACCCTGAACCGAGGTTAAGGATGGCCGGAAGCAGTGCCGGCAGTGCATCAGATTAGGACTTAGAGCGTGGAGCTGCTGTCTCAGGCTAGCCGAGGGCTGTGCTTAAAGGGACCCGACCCCCTCCCTGGACAGTCAGTTCTCAGGGGTTCCCCGCTCGCTTGTCTAATTTGATGAGGGACAGCAAAGCAGTCCTGGCTTGGAGTGCCCTGAATGCCCACACTCGGCACATCACAGCACTTGGCCATCAGCCCGGCTGCACTTGCCGCAGGCTGCCATACGGGAGGGAAGGGTCATTCGGGGGGCTGCAGGAGAGCTTCCACCCCGAGGAGCCCGCAGAGCCACCCCAGTCCTCCCCATCGGGGGCTCGTACCCCATTCCTCCCTCACCTCCTTCCACTTATCCCTCCCTAGCCTCCCTTCCTGATGTACAAAATAAAGGACACGTGTGTTCAAAAATAGAAACTCTCTTTATTGAACAAAACTCGGGGAGACTGGGAAAAAGAGGTAGGAGAGCGAAGGGCAACTAAAAT